AAGCACTGTGACCATGGTTTTGTAAACTCCAACTATCAGCAAATTATCAGGGCTTGCAAAACTCCAAGCATGGGCCTTCACATATCCTCACTGTGCCTTTATCTACATATTTTTATTTCAGTGTCATTGTGGCATCAGTTGATTGCAGAAATAGTGAGGGAGGTAACAACACAGCCTGCTGGCAAAATCCAATTTCCTACCCATTATAGTAGGTGATACTTAATAAGTCAGTAGACATACTGAAGTCAACAGACTAACGTCAATGGAGCCATTCAGAGTATGACTAATATTGAATATAACCCAATAGCTTTAGTTATTTAAAACTAGCCATTTCTGACTTTTGTACTTTTTTACCAACGTTATTTTATGACTGATATAGGCAGGAATGTGTGCATGTAATTGCTTTGATTTATTCATCATAGCTTGTCCTACCCCAAGCAAGACTGCAAAGATGCAGTTTGCATATATAAATTCTAGTAGAGATAAAACAATCATTGTTATTGGTACCCATATCTATTAGCATGGTGTGAATGATAGCAATAGAATGATAGAACTATTCAGCTTTATCTAATAAAGTTATTTTAACAATTTATAGCTTATTTTCAAAAGTAGAGTCTGGCTCCCTTCAAGAAATGTAGACAGTCAGCAATTCTCCTATTCCCAGAAATAATATGTCCTAATTTTAGTTCTATTATGTCATTAATCTGAACATCAAAAATGTGTAGGCTGTGGACCATGTGATAAGCAGACTGATGTTTCTAAATGACTTGTGCTTTTGCTTCTTTCCACTTTTAAGCTCAGAAAATCTAGAAGAAGAAGAAGAAGAGGAGGAGGAGGAGTAGTTTGGATTTGATATCCTGCTTTATCACTACCCTAAGGAGTCTCAAAGCGGCTAACATTCTCCTTTCCCTTCCACCCCCACAACAAACACTCTGTGAGGTGAGTGAGGCTGAGAGACTTCAAAGAAGTGTGACTAGCCCAAGGTCACCCAGAAGTGGAGTGCATGTGAAGGTGCGGAGACGCAAACCCGGTTCACCAGATTACGAGACTACCGCTCTTAACCACTACACCACACTAGCTCTCCAATCTAGACCAAATCATTATGCAGTTTGACAGTGATCTTTTCTGATGATGGTTTTCGTCAACCAAATCAGTCCCAGCCCATACTGCTGAATTAGCAATAATCTGGTGGACCTGGAAAACTAGAGGACCAAAATTATAATAACATGATTAATGGCCAGCCCATAATACAGATGTGAATGCCCACATCTCATAGATAACATCTGATTCAAAAGAGCAAACTACAGCAAGAGAGCAGTGAGCTCCAAGATCCTTATTGTTGTTGTTCAGTTGTTTAGTCGTGTCCAGCTCTTCATGACCCCATGGATCAGAGCACACCAGGCACTCCTGTCTTCCACTGCCTCCTGCAGTTTGGTCAAACTCATGTTAGTAGCTTTGAGAACACTGTCCAACCAACTTGTCCTCTGTCATCTCCTTCTCCTTGTGCCCTCAATCTTTCCTTACACTCCACATAAGGATCCCACAGCTATACAAATTCTGGAGCTGACAATCAATGGGAACAAGTTTTTTGGTGGTGGGAGGAGAAAACCAGAGCAGGTGAAAGATGTCCACCCTCTCCTGCCCCGGCTGCAGTGAGCTGGCAAAGGCATAGGAAACGGTTGTAACTCCACCATGGAATCTTCACGAACACATGCATTGCTTTGCAATCCTCCCCTCCCACTATAGACCCTGCTACAAATATTAGCGAAACAAATGCCTAGTAGACAAATATCAATCTTGTATTTGAGAATGATGAATATTTGTGTTTCATTAATCAAAACTGACTAGAAGTTGTGAACTTTGCCAATGTGGATAGCATACCACTTGTAAGTTAGAGTGGTGAGTTCAGGGGGGGGAACTTGTAACTATAAGAAATGTTGGTACTGGTGAACCTCTTTTCCTGGAAATTTGCTGAGTGTGTTTATTTGTTTAATTTTAAGTTGCACAGGCTTCCATTGCAGGCATTTCAGGTACAAGATATTCCATTCAAGGTAGAACTAGGCAATCTATTTGGTTCTCTCCAATGTTATGAACTTTTTAAAAAATGGCAGGGAGGGGAAAATTTCTATTAAAAAGCATGGGGGGATTAGTACTAAAATATCAGCAAGTAAACCTAGGACTGATTGAATAAGTTCAGTCAAACATGCACAACTACTATCCAATGAAAGCACCAGTAAAACTGTGTTACAATACTTATTAAACAAGTATTGATACTCAGAAGCTATTTTAGGACTGTAGTCCTACACATTAGGGACTAAGCCTCAATGAACAGAGCAGGACACACTTTCAAACAAACATGTATCGGGCAGTGCCGTAAGCAATTTAAAGATGACATATGTGTAATACTTCATGCTCGCACCTTTCTGATTTTCCCCAAGCTAGATCTTTTAATCAAAATGAGTTGCAAGGCTGAAACAGAGGTTGGGTGCCAGTGCTGCTTTTAAGTTCCTTTCATTTTACATAGATAGCAGTATTAGTCAAGTGCTCACTGTGCAAGGCATCTCCGTCTCCAGCTCTTATGCTGATAGAAATCCACTAGCACCACCCTGCACCTTTCATTCTGGAATGTACATATCTGAACAAAATGAAAGAGACAGATCAAAATAGAAAGTTCCTGTCCGGCACGTACCAAAAATGTACATAAATCCTGAGAAAAGAACTTCTCAAAACAGTATTTCTTCAGGTCAAGTGAACTTTTAAACAGCTGATCACAAGATGAACAGGAAATGTAAATAAAAACCGTATTTTACTGCATAGTTAACAAGTATGCATCTGCCTCACAATGATTAGGTGCAGCCTTAGGCGAATCATTATATATTAGCCTCAGCCAATATGCAATGTGGAAATAATAAGAGTGAATTTCCATACAGGGCTATTGTAAGCATTATCAAGGCATATATGTGAAGCACTTTAGAGCGCTCAAAGCACTACATAAATACTATCTGTTACTATCTGCTAATAATTTTTTTCTACACCTCCTCAGAGAATAATCCATCTCCACTGTCAGAGGCATTATGCCTCTGAATACCAGTTGCTGGGAACTGCAATGACTACTGTTGCTCTCATGTCCTGTTTGCTGGCTTCTCACAGGCATCTGGCTGCTAATGTGAGAACAGGATGCAGGACAAGATTGGGCCACTGACCTGATTCAGCAGTTTCTTCTTATGTTATCATTTCTGTTGGTGAAAAAACATGCAAGCTTCCAAATTACATGGAAATGTCTAGTGCCGGCAGCAGTAACCATGTTATTTAGTTGTCACGTATAGCTACCAAATTCATATACTGTACATAGTCCTCAGATTCATACATTACAGTTTGAAATGACATGAAAGCAGCAGCAAGGTATCTTATTAATCATTTCTTTTGCAGAATTTAATGACAAGAGCGCATCAATTGCTTTGCAACCAGGAACCCCAGTTGCACTTATCAATTAAAAGAATTTAGGGGAGCAGGGTTGAGAAAACCCACTGCCCTGGACTCCACAAAGCTGGCCCCACTTAGGAATAGGCAATACTAATGCTCTCAGAGTATGAAGGAGCTTCATATGTTCAGTATGGTCCAAGCCAATACCTTTAGGGTCACGGCACTGGTGAGCGACTTGAGTTATCACAAGGTATTCAATGTATTATTCAATAATACCTTTGACCCATTAACCACCAGCAGCTGGACCACTTAAGTATCCAGAAAAATACAACAGCAAAGAATTAGCAGCCTCGAGCACTTCTGTGTAACTTAAAAGCTTGCTGACACTTTTGCGGAAAACATAACAAGGTGGCAATCCTATGCACGCCTACCTGGGAATAGTCCCACTGAACACAATGGGGCTTACTTCTGAGTCACTATATGGTACATAGGTCTGCAGTAAAAGAGTGTTTGCTTCTTAACCTGGAAGAACACAGCTAGCAAACTTTATACCAAAAGCATAACACTAGCATTCAATCAAGTTGCTGCTGCTATTATTTACTTAGTACAGGAAGTCATTTTTATTCCTCCCCCCCCCAATAAAAAGTCTCAAAGCAGCTTGACAAAAATAAAAACAAATAAAAACCAGACAACATTTAAAAACACAGAGAGGGCAAAACACATGAAATGCTTTTCCGGCAACACATTTGTAAGGGCCCCAAGTCCTACCCACTCCACCAAAAGATGAGCAGCAACACAGGAGGCAACACTCACAAACCACAATTCTAATTACAGTACCCTAAAAAGTTTAAGCCATTGAGGCTGGCTGAGTCTAAGCAGCAGGCAGTCCTGAGAAAACAAGACTTGAGTTCCTGTCCCATCACACACACCCCAAACCACCCTCAAAAAAATAAAATAATTCGGGGTTGATCTTTTACACTGAGAAAGTTCCGTAACATTACCACCGCCAAGAACAATACTATCAACAACTCGCTTCGCTTTCCCTTTACGAGATATGCTGCAGGGTCACATGAGTGAAACTGAGGGAGATAAGGAAAGTGCCGAGCTGGTGGCCGCCTCTCTCTCGGCTCGGGGTAATAAAGCTGCCCCGGTGCTCGTCAGTTAACCCGGGGGGGGGGAGGGAGACCCCGAGAAGGGATGGAGAAGGAAATCCAGGTGCGGACCTGCATCCGGAGGCCAACGCCTCCCGAAGGAGGCCTACCGGGAGCAGCCGGGCATTCAGCTTCATCACACCGACGTCCTTATGAAACGACCCAAAGCCACCCTCGGCCGGCTTGCTGAGGGGCGGCAGCAGCACCCACAGGGGCCCGCGGGGGTAAAAAGAACAACTATCCAGGGACCCAACGGCCCTCGCCGCCGTGGAAACGGGCCCCGAGGAGTCTCTCGCGGGCGGCTGGCCGCTGTCACGGAGGCAGGACCTCTCGGAGCGCCGCGGAGGGCGAGCGGCCTGCAGCCTCCGGGCCCCTTTTTCTTCTCCTCCGCCGCTGCCCGGTCCGTCTCGCCTGCGGCTCTCTTACCTCAGCTAACATCCTTGCTCGCGGTGGGAGCCTCCGGCTCTAGCCCCGCCGCATGGTGTTGCAGCTCGCAACGTCTGCCCGGGGCCGCCGCCGCAGGGGGAACGGCGCCAGCCGGCTGCCACCCTCCTCAGCGGTGCCTCCGTAGCGCCAAGCCCACAGCAGCCGACGCCGCCTCCGCAGGTCGCTCAGGAGAGGCGGCCATCTTGAGGAGGCTGCGCGAGACGCCGCCGACGCTACTGCTGCCGCTGGGGCTCTCGCCGGCGCGGCCGCCCATTGGGGCGGCGAGACACTGCTGGGCAGGCCTCTCTCTGGCCCGGCCGCCTTGCCGCCTCCCTCCTCCGCCCACAACCGCTTCCCTTCACGCAGCCACGGGCTGAGGGCGGGCTCGCTGCCTCGCTTTCGACTCGCCCCCCAAGCAACGCGGGTCTGGAGCGGCGGAACGTGAGGAAAGGGGCACGGAGCGGGACAGGCGAGTCAGTATGTGGCGCGCTGTGAGAGACTTGAGGAGAGCTGGGCTCACGTTCACACAAGCTTGCCGAGGTCGTTGTGAGGAGTTCCTTGGAATTTGGACTGGTGGCAAAAAGTCAGTCATGATTGGAGGCGGGAGAGAGAAATGGCTCTGGGACAAGTTGGAGGCACATGCCTGCTCTGGACGCGCTTTCTATGGAGTATGGCCCACTGTGTGAATGCAAGTGGGGTCCAGCTTCTGCTTAGGAACGTGCTGCCCGTCCGAATTCCAAAGGAATCTGTTCCTTTCTTAATAAGAATAATAATTTTTAATAATTATAATTTTTGTTTATACCCCAACCTCTCTGGCCAAAACCGGGCTCAGAGCAGCTAACATCAAATGTATAACGTAATAACATAAAATCAGACAATCAATTAAAATACATATGATCACGCCTCCCCCAGACAGGGCCCTTTTCATCACTTGCTGTCGTCTTCTTTGGTGATCACTCGTAGCCAAGTAAGATTGTATTCCATGAACATGATCTTAACAGTGAGTCCGTAAGTGACTGTGGAGGCCAGTTCTGGATCCACACGTCCTTCCACAGTGGGGACATTGCTTCCCGGGCAGGAGTTGATCACGGTGAGGGTTTGCCAAGCGTGCCTTCCTCTTAGCACATTTCTCCCTTTCGTCCTGAGTTTGAGCGTCTTCAAAGCCCACAACACCTTTCGTAAAGGCTGTTCTCCAACTGGCGCGCTCACAGCCCAGTGTTTCCCAGTTGTCGGTGTTTATACTACTTTTTTTTACATTTGCCTTGAGAGAATCTATGAACCTCTCTTGTTGACCACCAGCATTACGCTTTCCATTCTTAAGTTGGGACTAGAGTAGTTGCTTAGGAAGACAATAATCAGGCATCTGCACAACATGACCAGTCCAACGAAGTTGATGTTGAAGAATCATTGCTTTGACACTGGTGATATTTGCTTCTTCCAATACACAGGGTGTCATCTAGTGTTGGTTTTAAAACACAACCCTGACTATGTATGGAAAGGGAATGAATGAACACCTGACTGTAGCCTTGTTGATTTGGTGTGGGGTAGGGATGTCAGAGTAGAGTATGAGAGCTTTTGGACCAGAATATCAAGCAAGGTTCATGATGAGTCCAGAAGCCATCGGCTGGGCAGCGTTAAGATATGATAACGCACAAGGCCAGAGTAGCAGGCAAATAGTGACTGCTGTTCATTGCTGCTCACTTGCTTTTGTTTTGTTTTGTACGGCATTTTGGTAAAAAGAGTTGAGGGGAGCGGAGTAGAGAGAGAAGCAGGCCGGAGCACTCTAGGTTAGGGAAATGATGATAAGTGGTCCAATTAGCAGTGGAAGCAAGAAGCTAACGTGGATAACAGAAGCAATGCTCAGACAAAGCAGTGGACACATCTGGAATAACTTGGAAACAAGACGAATGAAGAGGCAGATAATAGGATGACGGTGTTTAGAGAGGACTTTCAGTGATTGTGCATTGAATGATGAAGTGTGAGGTGGCTTGACCGCAGCTGGAGTAAAGATGCAACATTTCCAGATATGTTGAAGTTGTCAGGAAAATGTGTCTCTCCCACACCACTTATTGTGATGGGGTGAGAGTTTGTGAGAAAATTGAGATACATTCAACAAGTACTATCTGTGACCAAGTGCTGCAGTGTGGAGTGGTCCCATTCAGGGCTCCCTATCAGCTAGCCATGCCCTTTCCAGGGTACTCCATTCCATCTCACTACCCCAAAGTTCACCACCATCCTTTCCCCCCGAAATGTGCTCAATTATCATGTAGCTGTTTTGGGTTTAAGACCTTTTGCACACGAAGCAGGGTGCTTTTTCACTGAGCTAGCCCCCCTTTAGGTGTACATAAGTTTGATTACTTACATAAAATAACATGCGGATTTGTAGATGGTGTGACATATAGGCATGTATGCACTTGCCTCTTTGCAGAAATCATGCAGTTCTGACATGGTGCTCTTAAAATAGTACTTAAAATAGTTACAAAACTAGGGTGGGTAAAGCACAGTATTCAAGATACCTCATTTCAGATATTGCATTACAATCTGACTTCCATCTTCCAACTGCCACCACAAATTAATATGGCAACTGAAAGTATATTCTAACTTCAGAGAACTATGGAGGGAAAAAATCATTCCAATCTCAATTTTCAAGGGATGTATTACATTGTGATGAGGGAAAAGAAGATCAAATATGAATGTGATGTCCTGAAGATGAATGCCAACTTTCATTCCAGTATTTGAAAGGTTGCATTATGATACCTGTCTGAACAGAAATCTAAGGTGACTGAAAAAGGGGAGAAGTAGAACTGATATTCAGAGTTGAAATGCTGAACTGTCCTTAAATGTATGTACAAAATCTCATTCTGGTATATCAGTTTTCAAGAGAGTTATTGAACTGCAAACAAGCAGAATACCAAACAGACAAGTTAAAGGCTTTCTATTGTTTGTGCAACAAAGTTTCTGAATTAAAGCAAAACAGGATTTTGAACATCAATGGTGGTCATGTTTAACAACAAATCCTTTGAGTGATACATTTGTTGTGTGCAACATGTTCTGTGGAAGAATCAAGAAAAGAATGTGAGGAATCCTTTTGCCTTATCAACAAGGTGACCACTTATTAGGGATGGGGAAGAAATTTGATTTAATTTACATTTTAATGTGAACCTAACCTAAACTGTACTTCTCAAAAAAGTATACAAACTGAAACACAGCCATCCTTCAGAAATCGTTTTTCTTATAATTTTCCATGCAATTCTCCAACCATAAAATGCATATAAAAGGTGTATTTGTGTAATGTGTTCATAAAAGAAGCATACATTAGTAAAAATAGCACCGAACAATAAATTCTGTTGGGTAAAATCCTTGGGGAAACTTTATTTATTGGGCAAACTTGCAAACAAATATATAAAAATCATGAGCTGCATTGTAGATTGGAAAGGTGAGAAACTGAAATTGATTTGTCCATCCCCACCATGTGTGCTGTGCCACAGAAAAGAGAGGAAATGCATGACTAAAAAGAGAACACAGATTACCATAAAATTTGCATGTGCTAATATGTATAGATGCAAATATATAAGTAATTACTAAAATTTAAAATGCAAATACCATAGTAGGGAATGCTGCTGTTCAAGAGCTAAACCACTGGTGGGCAATTTCAAGGCCCTTGCTCTCCCTTCCTATGGTTCTTTATTTTTAATCAGGCCTTGGATAGGACAGCTGGTCTCTGTGAAGTGGAATACATGGCCACCATATTCCTCAGTTGCCATGTTTGCACTTGGTGGTAGCCACTTGGGCTCTTATTTCTAACCTTGCACTTACATTGCTAAGAAAGCTTCCTGGCTGAGTAGTCCATTAATCCACCCGGTGCACCAGGTGGAGGAAGCAGTGTTCCTATAAAACTGTGAGGTCTAGCAAAATATCCTCAAGGATAAATAGTGCTGTACATCATTTCTGAAACAGCACCTGCCGTTTCTGATGCATCAGCATTTGCCTAATCCACAGATCTTGGTATTTTCGTTCTCTTCCGTTCTTTCCTTCTCTTATTTTCTGCTCACCTTCCTCCCTCTCTACCCTGTATCGCCTCTTTGCGTATTAAATGTGTCGCCTCTTTGCAGCTTAAAATGTATTCCTTCATCATCAGGCTATTTCTGTAATCTCTCTTGAGAGTTTCAGAATTGCCATGGTTGTGGCTGTTTGTTTCTGCTGTATTGTTCTCTTCATTCACACCTGGGTTAAAATATTAGATGTTAAGCCAAAACAGTTACCCAAGAAACAAGAAGCTCCTTTAAGACATTAGCACTGATTTTTTTTTTTTATTAGAGAATGTAAGGCCACACAAGCAAGCAATGAAGCGATGTTTTATGGGCAGCATTCTTTCCACCAAATTGAGCATGAATATCTGCATTCCTACACATCCAAAGTGACACTTGTTTGTCTTGGTGAAATTACGTTTACCCTGCTTGTCTGTCACAAGCTCAGAGCAGACATCCAAGGTGTCTTCAGTTTTCAGATAAAGCCAAGGTTTTACTGCTACCAGAGGAGACACAGAACAGGGTTTGAATAGACAATTATGGAAGGGGAGTCCTTGAAGTTGGGGACTGCAGCCCTCCTGATGTTGCTGAATACCAACTCCCATCAGACCCAGCCAGTGGCCAATGGTCAGCGCAGTGGGAGTTGTAGTCCAGCAACATCTGGAGTCCACAGGTCTCCCAACCCTTTTTTAAAGTATTCTGTCCTCAGACCACTTAGGGCTTTAAAAGCTAGCCCCCCAAAACGAATTGGTAACCAGTGACATTGAAACAAAACTGGAGCTGACGTATTTGATTCAAAACATTCCATAATGTGTTTTCATTGTCACTAATTGTCTTCTGCCAATTATTCTCAGCTGTTCACACTATTAGTGGAATGGAAGCAACATCAAAGGAGCATTACTAAAACTATGTTGACACGCCATTCTGAACCAAGAGAGATTAGAGGAAGAGCCACATACTTTAGGTTGGGCAGAAACTAGATTCAAAATACCTCCTGCCCACACTGTGATGGTTTTAGGGATAGGGAGTAGGTGTCAGGGTTGAGTTTTTATTTCTGTCTTCTGGTTAATGGGAATATTGATTTGTTTGTTGTTACCATGCTGCCAAAGTTTTCTATTACTGTTATGGGGGTGGGCTGGTTATTAATGTGTTATATGATCCCCCTTTTTTCTGTTGTTGTGTGTGTGTTTGTGTTCAGTCTAAGTCACTTGGGAAACTTTTGAGTTACAAGCGACTAATAAGTTTAATAAATAATAATAATAATGCAATAGCCACAGTTCATTTTCTAAGTACCAGCCTAGGACAAAACTGTTAATGGAAAGAAAGCAATAAAGAGCAGAAGCAGAATAAGTGAATTTGAAGTGATTTCCCAGTGACAGTAGCTGCAACCTAGAACTGAAAGAGGAAGTGTTGAGCAGTGCTGCAAATAGCACTGTTAGGGGAACTTCTGGGGCTGATTTTTGGCAGGAAAATGATGTCTGGGAGGAAGGGTTAAGGCTAAAAACTTTTCTGCTGGGGCAACACAGCTGCATTTTGCTCAAGAAGAGGTGTGTCTGGTCTTAAGCATTTAATTTGAATATGCTGCTAACTATTACCAACATATTTATTTTTTCCTACACCATCTCTCCAAATCTAGGGTGACTAATGTGTAGCTTGACCCTTAGCTGCAACAATGGGTAAATGCTATCCGAAAGATTAGGGCCAGGGGGCACATGCCAGTTGTGGCCGTGGCCAGAGAGAAAAGCAGGCAAAGCATCTAATGTGACTTTTAGCTTTGTACAGTAGACTGCATTCCAGACATATTTGGAAGTTTCTTAAACACTCAAATACACCTCTCTCCATCCTCAATCCAGGCAAGCAAGAGGAATGATCACAGTTGAAGGACACATTCCAGCCAGGCAAAACATTTGAGGAATATGTGGAACAGGGCCAGGGAAGGGAGTTAACTGGGGAGAGTCTCAAGGGCCAGAAAGAGGTGTATCGAGACCCACAGTGGGGACCCAGGCCTGTAGTTTCCCAATCCTGGATGGGATAGATGAGTTTCTTCTGTGCATTGTCTTGTTTCATAAAAAGAGAAAGCTGAAACTTGGTTTGTACTTTTCTGACAAGCAGACTTGACAATGGACAATGGTATCTCACCTTGAATGGATTTGGAGTAACTTATGTTAAGCACTTGGGACGCGGGTGGCGCTGTGGGTAAAATCTCAGCGCCTAGGGCTTGCCGATCGCATGGTCGGCGGTTCGAATCCCCGTGGCGGGGTGAGCTCCCGTCTTTGGTCCCAGCTCCTGCCCACCTAGCAGTTCGAAAGCACCTCTAAGTGCAAGTAGATAAATAGGTATCGCTTTATAGCGGGAAGGTAAACGGCGTTTCTGTGTGCTGCGCTGGTGCTGGCTCGCCAGAGCAGCTTCGTCACGCTGGCCACGTGACCCGGAAGTGTCTCCGGACAGCACTGGCCCCCGGCCTCTTAAGTGAGATGGGCGCACAACCCTAGAGTCGGACACGACTGGCCCGTACGGGCAGGGGTACATTTACCTTTACCTATGTTAAGCACAGTGGTGCCATGGTCCAGGGTTGCAGAGGGTTGAAGACCCATTACCAGTGCCCTTTTTTTCTTAAAAAAAATGTTTAGGGGTACTCTCATTTTCCTATTTATATTGAAATACTGCCCCTCAATGAGGCCAAACTTAGATTCACAAAATGTTTAGGGGTATGCATACTCCCAGAAAAAAGCACTGCCCATTACTATTTATGCAGCAGAATTCCTCCAGTGTCCCCAAACTGCCCAATCAGCATGTAGGGGGAGCTTTTTGCCCACTGTATGCTCCAAAGGTAAACATTTAGGAATACAGAAAACACGAGTTTCAAGAGAACGGTGTGCAAATTCTGCTACACTGGAACTTAACAGAAAACATAATTTAAGCCAGGCTGAAAGAAGACATTGCAGCACTCCAAATAATTTCCCAAGTATGTGCACAGGAAATAGTAGACCAAGCTGAAAGGCAACACATGGAGATCTGCGTTGGTTACTGCAACACATCCCATAATTGTTATGACGCTATAATTATAAGATTATTGTATAAACTTAGACGCTTGTGAAGGGGTGTGATTGTGACTATCATGGTTATGCGCTGTACAATGGCAATTCCATTCCCTGCACTGAACATGCTTCTACCACATCTGCAACCCAAATCCTATGTGCAATTACTTGGCAGCAAGTCAGCTCCACTTAATCCATTAGGGCTTACTCCAAATCTGTACATAGCTTGTATCATTAGAAATCGAATGATCAGCCAAGTTTGGCTTCTAGTAGGAATCCAGCATGCTGTCAAGGCAGGCTGGGGATCACCTGCAAAACTTCAGCTCCACAGTCACTGGGAATAGATTGATTAACCAAATTGCTTGGAGTGGCAATTACAGATTGGAGGTGGAAGTGGGGAGGAAAGAGAAATAGGTATGGGGAGCAAAGTAAGGAGCAAAGAGGCTGTCAACTTCCTTCTGGGAGCCCAAACATATGTATGGTTGTAGTAAGCCGTAGTTTGGCTTACCATGACATGTGAACGAGACCAAAGTGTTATGCCTTAACTCTAGCTATCCTGTTGCAGTTCAACTAACTAGAAACTACATTTTGCCCATGTTGAAGTCACTTTTGTTTCAACAAGGTTGAATAAATCTAGGACACTCCCTTGGGCAGGGGTGCCAACTTGAATAAGATATTGGGGGACCCAGGTAAGCCCCAACCTGCATAATTGATCACATGATAGAGTGTGCACACACTATTTGAATGGCAATGCCCATCAACTTTGGGGGGGGCCAGACCCCTCAAATATTTTATCAGGGGGTGAAGACCCCTCAGCCCCTAGGAGTTGGCTCCTATGTCCTTGGGTGTTAATTTGCTATCATTTTAAAACCTATTTTTAGTTCCTGTTGTAAGGTTATAAATGGCCTTCAGACATTTGTGAAAAGTGATTCATAAACTAATAATAATAATAATAATTCTATTATTTCCATTCCTGCAACTGTATAAAGCAGAATCACTATAGGTCCTTTTGTCCTATACAAGACAGTATTCCTACTTAAGTTCCTGATATAGTTCCTTTTTTGCTTTTTCTAGGCTTCTAGTACCAGCTGTTGTTTCAGTTTCCTTCTTCACTTCTCTCTTTGCAACTTGTACAATAATCTGTCTGAATTTCCCTTCTTACACACATTGTCTCTCGTCTTTCTGTGTAAGCCCTGTGTAAGCCCTTGGTTTATTATTTCCTCTGGAACTGAACCTACTTCAGTCTTTAGTTTGAGAAGTGACTACAGGTTTTTTTCTTTTCTTTAAAAACCCCCCTATACAACTAAATAAGGAAGCTGGTGGTAGGGTAATGAATTTCTAAAATTATTTCAAGGTAGTCAACCCACACCAAATGAAGTTACCATCTGTCATACAGACAACAAGTAAATAACACAATTACTATGTACATTTTAGGCTGAGTATGTTCAGTCATTGTTTTCCCTACTTTGAATGTAAGTTTCCTTGGCAAAAACAAGAGACTGAATATTGCTTCATTGGTTCAATTCACGTATAAACACCAAAACAATCTGGCACGTGGGATCATTTATGTAGGCTCACATATTATCTGTTTTCTCACTCACTGTAGTTTGCCATGATATCCCAATTGGGAAAATATGGTTAGTTCTAACTTCATAATAATGGTTTGCAAACTATGAATTCAAATTAGGCTTTGGAGCAGTATTTTCAGTTAAGACATCATACAAAACTGCTGTGGTCAAGCAAACAAACAGGAAATGAGAGAGTTAATGAATAAAGACTGATGGAGTGAAGAGAGTCTTCAGGGGCACAGCCAGGCATAACATATGAATTAAATAATTAGGTAAAATAGAATAATCCCCTATATTTATAATAAATACTATTATTATTTATAGGTCATCTTTTTGGGCATAGCCCATCCAAAGTCAGCTTGCATTTCATTAAAACATCCAAGAACTAACCATTTTAAAACAGTTAGAAAATGTGAAAAGGAAACTATATGCTGAACCTTTATGTTCATTACACTGGTACCTTGGTTCTCAAATGCCTTGGTTCTCAAACACTTTGGTTCTCAGACTCCAAAAACCCGGAAGTAAGTGTTCCAGTTTTTGAACATTTTTCAGAATCCGAACATCTGATGTGGCTGTCAGCTATTGTACATGCTCACCATGCTTCTTGACAACCACACAATTAGCATCAATGTGAAAGGGACCTATGTGTGTACAGTTCTTCCATGCATTCGTGAAGGCCAGCCAATCAGGGTTGCTGTTTGCATATCAGACCCTATCACTGCCACCATCTCCAGGGACCCAGTCACCCACCAGACTTTTGCTGTGGGTGCCTAGCCTCCACCCCCACTGCCACCTCCACGCACCCCCCCCCCATGGCACCACCTCTCCAAATGTCGGGAACTTTTCCCATAGGGGAGTTTCTCCATTGTCTTTTTTTTATCTGGGTTTCCATTTCCGGAGCCATACAAACCACCTGATTCAATCTTCTCCTCCTTCCTCCTCATCTTCCTTCACAGCCTGCCAACCCCAGCCCGAGCCCGATGGCATCTCAAGGCTCATGACAGATATTCAGTCCCGAAACATTGTTTTCAGTGCTGTATGACAAACTTGCTGCCGTAAGTATCAACCTAATCTAGACCTTAGAAGGTGCTACCAGATTAGCACCCATAAAACTATGGGTTAAAAGGACAGGCTGGGGTCTTTAGCCATGGCATAGCAGCTAATGAGGCTTCTCTCAGTAATAGCATCATCTCAAAACACATCTGCCAGAGGACATTGATTGCCACTACAAAACAGGAGCCTCCAAGGCCACATTCTCCCCAGAAGTCTCCTGGGCCCCTTCCCGGATAGGGGCCATGTGTATGATACCAGTGGTGTTTGGTTTTCAGAGAATTTCCCCATGCATTGGCTGATACCAAGAAGAGGGACATTATATACCATGTGGCACTAACCTTTTGTGCCAAGCAGTTCCCCCAAGTCTGTTTTCTGTGCTATTCTGAGACCCATCTCAATTATTTGTAGAGAGATGGAAGAACAGATTATAAATTTTTAGAGATCAGCCCTTTGCAGCTGATCACATTTCTGAATGCATGAGCTCATCCCAATGGGCTTCTTCCCTTACAGAGGGTTATATCAACTAGCAGAGAAACTGATAGCTGTTCAGCTCTTGTAACCCATATTAAATTGTCAGTAGCATTATTTAAGAATACCTGAAGAATGGAGTAGGAATTTTGTGGGGGTTTTTTAGTGCTGTACTGAAACCTATGGGACAGAAGGGCTGCAGGAAAAAAAGAGAGCAGAAGAATTGCTCCACGACCGAGCCTATTGCTTTGCAAGTCATTGCTTCGATCGATGGCATCTTCAGACAGAAACTGTCAGGTAGCAAGTGAGCAGCTTGTTTTGCTCCAGGTGGGCATCATGTCATTTGTTATATTGCCCCCTAGTTTCTGCATGTAGAACTGTTTTGATTTTTCCGTTGTTGGTCTGGTAGCATCTGATCAAGCCTTAGAATCTGTTATCATGCCATGCTTAGTTTTCCTATGTCATATATCTAACCATGCTCAGACCTCAGAAGGGGGGGGGGAACCCTCCCTCTTGCATTGTTCTCTGCAGCCTGGGGACCTGGCCTCGCCGTTATATTTGCACATCATCCATAACCATTTCATGTGGCGTACACCATACATTAGTACAGTGGTACCTCGGGTTAAGTACTTAATTCGTTCCGGAGGTCCGTTCTTAACCTGAAACTGTTCTTAACCTGAAGCACCACTTTAGCTAATGGGGCCTCCTGCTGCCGCTGCGCTGCCAGAGTACGATTTCTGTTCTCATCCTGAAGCAAAGTTCTTAACCTGAGGTACTATTTCTGGGTTAGCGGAGTCTGTAACCTGAAGCGTATGTAACCTGAGGTACCACTGTATACATAATATACATGTTATATTATACATTATATAATACCATACTTTTAAAGCACACCCCCCCTCAAAAAAGAGCTCTGGGAGCTCTTGTTAAAGGTAGATTTGTTAAAGGTAAACTGCAGTTCCTAGGATTCTTGGTGGGGGGTAATTTATGGTGTGTATGCAGCCATGATTAGATTCACCCATTATTAACTGGTTTTTTTTACACCTTCAATCAGAAGTTTACCATTCAAGTTGTGCCCAAGTGATCAACGAAGTTGAAAGTGTGGATTTGGGTGTGAGTTTAGCTGACCAGATAGATGCGCAGCCTAACCTGCATCGAGGCCAGGTTGCTTCTGCTACCAGTAGAGTAAACGACACTTGTTTGCAGTAGTCTAACTTTGATATAAGGCAGCTTCTGACTTGATATCTAGACAGCTACTTGAGTAGGAAGCATTCTTTTTTTTTTAAGGCAGTGGCATGGAGATTGATGACCCCTATAAAACCTAAAAAGGTCACCCAGATAAATTATTATTATTTATTGTTACTAGGGAAGTTTTTAATGTTTGATGTTTTATTGTGTTTTTAATATTCTGTTGGGAGCCGTCCAGAGTGGCTGGGGAAACCCAGCCAGATGGGTGAGGTATAAATAAATTATTATTATTATTATTATTATTATTATTATTACTATTATTATTACTTAAATTTATATAAAATGGGATCAGGCACCATAAACTGGGACATTCTGTCATTATTTAATAAACGTACACTCCACCTTTCTTAACATATAGGTAAGGCAAAAAATAATTTTTGACTGATAAAACCCCATTAGTATAAAAACATAAAAAGACCATGTTGAAAAAGGCCAGCTATCACCAGGATATCCACATGAAACAGCCTTTGAAAGTGAGGAGGTGTTGGCCTCCTTAGAAAAATTCTGCAATATCAGAGTGGTAAGGCTTCCTTAGCAGTTAAACCTGGGGGGGGGGGTATATGACATAAAAGATCCATAGGTTGGGCCATAGTCCTACAAAATGCTCTAGAGCAGGGGTCAGCAACCTTTTTCAGTCGTGGGCTAGTCCACCGTCCCTCAGACTTTGTGGTGGGCCGGACTATATTTTGAAAAAAAATATGAATGAATTCCTATGCCCCACAAATAACCCAGAGATGCATTTTAAATAGAAGTACACATTCTACTCATGTAAAAATACAGTGGTGCCTGGCAAGACGAAATTAATTCGTTCCGCGAGTTTTTTCGTCTAGCGAATTTTTCGTCTTGCAAAGCACGGTTTCCCATAGGAATGCATTGAAAATCAATTAATGCATTCCTATGGTCAAAAAAAGTCCAAACAAAGCCAAATTTGGTACAACAAGAGTTTATTAAGTGCTCTTTAAAGTCACACATACTGTAAAGAGCATTTCAAAAAATTAAGGAACAATAAATTAAGTTTCTAAACATGACAGAAAAACATTTAAAAATCAACAAAGTGTACAGTACATTTTCTAAGACTCTGGGGGACAACTCGAAGAAGGTTCCTCTTCCACTCTTTGCTTCTTGCTGAAGAACCTGTCCATGGTCTGTTGCTTCATCCGCCTTTTCAGCACCTCCCTGAAAGGCGACATGACCCTTGTATCAAAAGTGTTCGCAAGGTCATGTGCCACGTGCTTGTCAGGGTGGTGCCGCTGTGCAAAAGCCTGCACATCCTTCCACTTCAGGCAAATGTCCCTCAGTTCTTTGGAGGACAGCCATTCCTCAGTTGCTTCCTCCTCTTCCAGGGAGACCTGCTCCTGCGCAGCCTCTGCCTGCAGTTCGACCAGCTCCTGGGTGGTCAGCTCGTGGTCGTGCTCCTCCACCAGCTCGCTGATGTCCTCCTCTGTGACCTCCAGGCCCATGGTCCTCCCCAAGGCAACAATGTCCTGCACCACTGTTGACTCTGGTGCATCAGAGTCATTTGGTGCCACACAGTCCGGCCACAGGCTGCGCCAAGCGCAATTCAAATTTCTCTGGCTGATCCCGTTCCAGGCCGTGGTGATCATCTTCAAGCAGGTGACGATGTCGAAGTGGTCCTTCCAGAATTCCCGCAGGGTGATGGTGGTGCAATCAGTCACCTCGAAGCATCACCTGAAAAGCTCCCCCAGCCCCTCCCCAACTGTTGCAAACCCCTCCCCAACTGTTCCCCCAGCCCCTCCCCAGATTCTTGCAAACCCCTCCCCAACTGTTCCCCCAGCCACCCAGCACACAGAAATTCAAATCCAGAATTTTTTTTAAAAAAAACAGCAGAGTGGCCCAATGGTCACAGAAAATCATAAAAATGCAGAAAAAAACACACAAGCTTCCAGATTCTTGCAAACCCCTCCCCAACTGTTCCCCCAGCCACCCACCACACAGAAATTCAAACCCAGAATTTTTTTCGTCTTGCGAAGCAAGCCCATAGGGAAATTCGTCTTGCAAAGCAGCTCGAAAAACGGAAAACCCTTTCGTCTAGCGAGTTTTTCGTCTTGCGAGGCATTCGCCTTGCGGGGCACCACTGTACGCTGATTCCCGGACCATCCGCGGGCCGGATTGAGAAAGCGATTGGGCTGCATCTGGTCCCTGGGCCTTAGGTTGCCTACCCCTGCTCCAGAGGGCGCTGTGCCGACATGCACATCATATATTTAAAGTGCTATGTTACCACTTTAAACAAACATGGCTTCCCCAAAGCATCCTGGGAAGTGTAGTTTGTTAAGGGTAGTGGGAGTTGCTAGAAGACCCTTATTCCCCTTAAAGAGCTTCAATTCCCAGAGTTCCCCGTAAAGTGGAATTGATTGTGAAAACTCTCTGGAAAATGTAGTTCTGGAAGGGAAATAGAGGCCTCCTAAAAGCTGTCACCACCTTTAACAAACTACTGCTCCCATAATTCCTTAGGGGGAGCCATGACTGTTTCGAGTGCTATTATATGGTTAAATAGAACAGAGCATTCAAAGCTTATTCAGTTCTTGAGCTTCAATAGAACCATAAATCCCTCTGCTGGTCAGTTTATTGCATTGCATGTGATAATTGCATGCAAGCAGCAAGTTTTAAAAAAGTTAAATGAAGGGAAATGCTTTCATTCAATAAGGCATGTTGCTTGCATATGCAAAAACCCATTGGGAATTGTAGGCTGAACAGGGCTGGTGGAGTTGGTGAAAAAACTGGATATTTCAGCAAGGCAACATTTTGAACAATATTCTGGATACTCAAAAACTGCATTTGGCTAGCGTTCTGCTATATTATTATTTTATTTATTGAATTTATATACCGCCCTGTACCCAGGGGTCTCAGGACGGTTTGCAAAATAAAATCATGCTAATAATAGCAGCAGCATTAACAATATAAATTAGATGGAAACACAGCATGTAGATATTTTTGAAACCTGAAAAGGTATGTAAATGATTTTAAATAAGTCCAGCAACATTTCAATGAAGCCAATGTAAGTGACATTTCTAGTTGCCAGAGACTTTGTGAGGTGGCACATATTGCTCAACAATTGCTGCTGAGGCAATAGCGTAAAGGAGAAACATACTTTTAATGGTACAAAATAAGGAATATTTTTCAATTTCCCAATAAATAGATGAATGTCAAAGGTGCCTGTACAGACTTGTTGAATTTCATTTTCGATTTACAGCTTTGTAAACGCAAGCTCATATCATGTTAAAAACTGTGCTGGTATTCTCTTTTTAAAAAATGTAACGTAGAGAGCATCCCAGAATTCCATACACTTCACTAGAAAGTACTTATTCACATAATGCATAATGAATTCATGGAATTTGTTGCCACACACTGCTGGCTGATAGTTTAGGTGATTTCCAAAGAGTTTAGACAAATTCCCAGCTATTCATTTTGATGGCCATATGCAACATCTGATTTCAGAGGCAGTGTATCTTTGACGAGCAACAGTGGGAGAGATCTTTTTCTTCATTCCCAGCTTGCAGGTTTCCCAAAAGTGTCTGGTTGACCACTGGGGAAAACAGAATGTTGGACTTGATGGACTTTTGATCTGACCCAGAAGATGAAGAACTTATAGCTAGGGAATGGTGAATAAGTTAGTTTCACTTTCTGCCCATTTTTCCAATCTTGAATTCAGTTCTCTACGTTTCAATATTACCTTGATAATTTTTTTAAAAGGTCCTCTTAAAAATTCATCAGCATTTTAATGCAAAAGTTATAGTAAGATTTATCTTGGACTATACCACTTCAGGTTCTAAATGTGTGTGTACATTTTAATGTCCCCTTTGAAGGCAAAATTCCATATAGAAATGTAGCACATTTAGGCTGAGTCCTTTTCAAGACATGGTAGTTTTGTAGGTCATAGAATCATAGAATTTTAGCATTGGAAGGGACTCCAAGGGTCATCTAGTCCAACTCCCTGCAATGCAGGAATCTCAACAAAGCATCCATGAAAGATGTCCACCCTGATTTTAAAGCTCCAAGGAAGGAGACACCACAACCTCTCAGTGGAGTCTGTTCCACTGTCAATAGCCTTTATGGGCAGAAAGCTCTTCCTGATGTTTAGTCGGAATCTCCTTTCTTGTAATTCAAATCTATTGGTTCGGGACCTGCCCTCCAGGGCAGGAGAAAACAAGGTTGCTCCATCTTCCATGTGACAGCCCTTTAGATATTTGAAGATGGCAATTGTATTTCCTCTCAATCTCCTCTCTTCCAGGCTAAACATACCAAGCTCTCTCAACCATTCCTCATAAGGCTTTGCTCCCAGAACCTTTCTCATCTTGTTCGCCCTTCTCTGCATATGTTGCAGCTTGTCAATATCCTTCTTAAATTGCGGTGCCCTGAGAAGTCAAATATGTGACCTGCCCCTTATATCCTAAAGCGGTACGGCCGACACAACAAATTATGCACCTAGTCCTGATGAACAGCTCCTGTGTTGCACAAATATTGAAAGCTACCATTGTTATTGCATCTGTTGCAGTGATGTGGAATATATAAATCTCACCATACAGCAAAGATGCCATCCATTAGGGTGTCATGCCCTCAGTCTTGTTTGTAATTGGCATCTGCGTCGTACCCCTCTCGAGTCGTGCTTCAGAACAATGCTGTCTAACCACAAGTACTATCTCTGAGCAATAAGTAAAATATAGCCATAATATCAAGCTGGTTCTCAAACTCTAGGTGGCAGCTTATTCCATCATTTTTTCTCAGATGAAAGCATCAGTATGAAAGCAGTAGTATACTATAGTTTATGCTTCTGACTGTTTATGAAAAAGTAAAATTATGGGAAACGGCACGGCAGTCTGAGATACAAGCATCAGTTTAATTTGTATACATTGTGGGTGGCAAACACTACAAGTGCTACTTCAGGGTGGGTTAGAACAAGGCTTTTGGCACAATATATTTACTGTGAACCTAAGATTTTAGATCAGGTGTGAACAAAGTCGATGAGGATCTGTTGGTAGTTCTTTGAGCAATTCCCCACCCACTAGACCAGGCTTCCTCAAACTCAGCCCTCCAGATGTTTTTGGCCTACAACTCCCATGATTCCTAGCTAGCATAACCAGTGGTCAGGGATGATGGGAACTGTAGTCTCAAAACATCTGGAGGGCCGAGTTTGAGGAAGCCTGCACTAAACCTCCAAATCAGGTTGCTAAAATGGAGAAAGCTGGGGAGAAAATGAGTGTATTTGCAATGTAGAAAAACAGTGAACTGTGCTCAGGGAGGGGCCATATCTCAGTGGAAAAGCATCTGCCTTGCAGGTGGAAGGTTGCAGGTTCAATCCTTGGCATCTCTAGGTAGTGCTGGCATTGTCTGAAACCCTGGTGAGTCATGGCAGATAATATAGTGCAAGATGGACCAATGGACTGACTCAGTACAAGGTAGCTTTCTATATTTCATATACTGAAAACAAATCCTGATCGGACCTTGCACTCAGGCACACCCTGTTCAGGAAAACTAACACAATATTTCCCACATCTGAACATGCCCTATAGAGCCCATCACAATTCCTGTTTCAGCTTCCCTGCTATTTCATGAAATATATGGCGCTGTAGTCTAAACCACTGAGCCTCTTGGGCTTGCCGATCGGAAGGTCGGCAGTTCTAATCCCCATGATGGAGTGAGCTCCTGTTGCTCTGTCCCAGCTCCTGCCAACCTATCAGTTCAAAAGCACACCAGTGCATTAGATAATTAGGTACTGCTGTGGTGGGAAGGTAAATGGTGTTTCTGTGCATTCTGGTTTCCGTCACAGTATTCCATTGTGCCAGAAACGGTTTAGTCAAGCTGGCCACATGACCTAGAAAACTGTAGACAAACGCCGGCTCCCTCAGCCTGAAAGCGAGATGAGCGCCGCAACCCCATAGTCACCTTTGACTGGACTTAACCGTCCAAGGGTCCTTTACCTTTTTACCTTTACCTTAGTAGCTGTAGTGTTGAAAATACCTCACAGAGTACTTTGCAAAATACCAAACTTTTCTTCTTTTCTGTTGCTTCATGAGCGGAATGAGGCTCATAGCATTAGTTGCTACTGCTTATTCCCTATGTGAGGTCATAATCCTTGCTTTTCAAATATCTTAATCTTTTTTCCATTGCTACCAGCTGGAATGTCAAAAACAAAGGATTACATCTCCACTAATGGAAGGCTTACTCCCTTTCTCACAGTATTCAACGGGAGCTGTGAATATTTGGTGCCACTGATATTACAGTGAAAGTTGCCCAGGAATATCTAATGGGATTCAGTGGCTAGGATCAGAATAGTCTAGCCTAACACATTGTGGATTGGGCTGGCTCCTGACAACCACATTTGCCTGGGACTTGATAAGCTCAATAGGTTATATCCAGCATGAGTCTTACTCAGAGTAGATGCACTGGGATTAATGCATAGGACAAATTTTGTTCGAGTAATTCAAAGTGTACTCTGGGTGTACTCTGAGTTGGTTACAACCTAGTACGTGTGATTGTGTGAGTAAATATTTTCACTGACTTCTAACTTGAAGGTTCTCACTTTGACTTTTAGGCTTACAAGTCTTAGGAGCAAGTGAAAGACTATCTACTCCCATATGAGCCTGTATCAGATGCCCTGTTCTAGGTACCACCTTCTGGGTCGCAAGGTAGGTTATGACCAGCAGTACAGCCTTTGCAGTGGTGGTGCCCTGGTTCTGGAATGTTATCCTCAGGAATATTCAGCTGGCATCAGTGCTGTTACCTTTCAAGCACTTAGTGAATACATTCTTATGTCCTAAGCTTTTAATGATTAATTTTATTCATGTCGTTTTCCTTTTTGTTGTTTTTATCAATGTTTTTGTGGGGTTTTTGTGCTGCTTTCATCTTCTGCTTTGTTGCAATCTTTGATTTTTATATGTTCTGGACTGCCTCATTTTGCTAATCATCTTCAGCTGAAAGTCCGTCTAAAAAACTCTTAAATAAATAAAATAATTATATGAAGAAAACATTATGAAATAATACCAGCAATATTCAGTTTGCTTTCATCTGAAAGAAGCCAAATCTGGGTAGCAGAACCTAGAACATTTCATTGATCTAGAGAAGAAAAGGGAGCATGCAACATTCTTATCACTCAAGTACTGTTATTATCAGTAGTCCCTTGACTAAGTTGTTCTGATTCAAAATAAGCCATTATGGCTTAATAAGCTTAAAATTTTGAGAACAAACGTAGAAAGGGTGTATAAACAGGATAAAGATCTCAAGGAAAAAGTGAGGCAAAGCTTGTAAGCATAACAGGAAGTGGATGTGACACACTGGAACTTAACACTAAGGCTGTTGCCTATAAAAAGCTACATTTATTTCATAATTCTCATGTCACTCAGCAAGTGTTTCCTCTTTACTCCAGAGTATTATGAAACTTTCTATGGATTTGGATGTGGCATTCATACAGCTCTTTCCCGAAACCACATGCAGCACACAATGTATTCTTTGAGACAAAAGATTGCTAATTCAGACTCGAAATAAATGCCTGCTATCAAATCAGTAAGTTGGTCCAAGAACCCACTGAGACCACAATCATAGCACCTTGTTCCTTGTGCACAGTTCTGGTTGTTGTTTTTTACCGTGGTTTAAGCTTTAATTAATTCAGCTTAATTGCAAGAGCTGATAACGAGCAACAACTTGACACTTTTTGAGACTTGACACTTTTTGAGAAACTCCAAGAGCAAGAACTGATTGGAAAGAAGCATGCATGCTTACTACTGCCCTGGCTCTCAATGTATGAAAAATTTGAACTTGGATTGTGGTTTCTGACACAATCTTTAATGCTCAAATCAGAGCAGTACATAGGCAAGGCAAAGGTTAGAGGCCCGGCCTAGCCCAGCTTTAGTGAGGCAAGGGAGAAGCACATTTGGACTGGCCAAGCAAACAGGCACTTCTTCCAGTGTGCTGGGCCTGAGCCATCGGCTCAGAGTGGCATCCCCATGTCAACACAGGCTCAGAGCCAGACTTGTACCACAGCATCTCCTATGCAGGTGGAGACTCGCTGTTAGGGAAAGGTGGTTGGGAGAGTTCCTGTGGAGCCAACTGATCATGGCTGATGCCTAACCCACCTTCTTCTCCCAACAGCCTTCTGAGTCCCTCCCTGGGGTCTGATTCTGTGCCCCCATCTTCCTTCCCATACAACTCTGGAACCTCCTGAGGACCAGGCGAGGTCTGGCTCAACCTACTCCCTGGGTTCATCCGAGTCCAACTCCTCGAGCATCATCCTGATCTGACCAGCCTCTCCAGGACATTCTCATGAGGCTCATGGCAACTACCCACTCTAGATTTTATATTAGCATAATTTTAGTTAGGTCAGTAACCCTGAAAAAATTGACCATGGTATCTTGTTGTCTTAAAGTTCAGGCAAGAAACTGGAGACTAAAAATTCAATATTTTCTTTTGCAAGTGTTTTCTTACTACAAGGCTTTTCACTGTGTTTAAACTTGCTCAATGTCAAAACACAGTTTGTTCCACTTGTTCTCTTTGCTATAGAAACAAAGCAAACTAAGAACTATTGTCTGTCCTTTAAATGGAATTATTTTACAGCCTTTGGGATCTTTCACATGCTTTCTCTGTATAATCTATTACAGTGTGATAGTTACACTTTTTAATTCGTGTATCATTTCCCCTTGTTTCCTTGAGTCTTTAAAGTCCACTCCATGCACAGATGTTGCAATGCATTTTTAATTGGTAGGGATATGTGTCTTCGAATTCAAGGAGGACCAGCTTTTTAAATATTGAAGGCCACCCATGCTATGTACACACAGTAATTACTGGAAGCCATTGAGGTGATATTGCTGTAGGTATACTAACTTAAACTGGTTTTGCAAGGACTTACAGCAATCTAAGCTGTATCCCACAGGAGCATTATCAACACTGCAGCAATGGACACACAATTGTCAAACAAATCCACAACCGATTGGATATTGCCCATAAAAAGCAACACCTACACAAAGTGTTCCATGTACACTTTTAGGAACGTATTGCTTCTGGGTGAAAATGACTTGAGTGGAATCTGATAGTAAATTATAGTATTGTTTATCCATGGAGCAGTGTTAGATAAAATGCAGTAGGCAGTTATAGCAATAATATGTTATTATTTATATCCTGGTCTTCTGGAGTTGCACTTGGAAGGGCTTATAAGAAAATCTACATAGGCATACATAAAATCCAATTAAAAGCAGTATTTTAAAAGCAGTTAGACAAATACGTTATGGCTGCAACATGCTTACCTGGGAGTACAGTGGTACCTTGGAAGTTAAACAGTATCCGTTCCGGAAGTCTGTTCAATTTCCAAAACATTTGGAAACCAAGGCATGGCTGCAGGAAGCTTCTGCAGGAAGCTTCTGCAGCCAATCAGAAGCCATGTCGGACGTTCGGGTTCCAAAGAATATTCGCAAACTGGAACACTCACTTCTGGGTTTGCAGTGTTCAGGAGCCAAAGCATTTGACTTGCAAGGTGTTCGGGATCCAAGGTAAAACTGTAAATTGTTTAACATAGCTGCAACTGAGGCAACAGCCAATTTCATATGTCAAGTATTGAAAGTCTATCAAAACATTTCCAACTTCCATGAAAAAGTGCTTAGAGAGTGGAACAGATGCAACTTAGCTGGAAGGACATGGTGCCACCAGTGAAAAGGCCTCTTGCTCATGCACTGAGAGAAAGGCTTCATACGTAGGTCCATTTTGAAGTCCATCCAGCTCTGCATTGGAACCAAGTGTTCCTTAAGATAGTCCCAAGCCACTAAGGGCTGCCATGTTAAACCTAATACTTAACACAGTTGTTGTTTAAGGCACATGCAATGGACCTGTAATAAACCATACTACATGTAATTATAGTAAGTGTACATATCTGCCTTGCTCCAGCAATCCTTTTTCCAGCCTGCAAGGCATCTTCCATTCAGTAGACGAAACAAATTTGTGCAGAGAGAATTATTCCCAGTTACTCTTAGCCAAAAAAAGGCTTGAAGAGTTAAATACTGTCTCATCTTCTCTCATATCCACCTGGCCAGTCTTTAGTCACGGAGGTGAAACCTAATCAGGACAGAGATCACGTAGCTTGTGGAAACTCAGCTTTCAATTACTAGGCAATGTTACTTGGTTTCTTTTCAGAGCTGAGCCAAAGGGAAGGTGAGATTCATCAGGTGTGAAAAGCCAGTCTCCTTCTGGTGAATGGGCTGGGGAGAGAAGTCCTGTATAAGGGGATAGAGTGGGCAACCTTTTAGCCTGCAAAGACTATATCCATTGGTGAGAGGTGCTTGGGGACTGCATGTCAGTGGTGTACATCTGCTCACAAACATTCACCTAAATACACGGCTTGATGGGGAGGAGAAGGGCAGACCAATCTCAACCCCAGAGAGAGGGCAGAAGCCAGACCAGTCCTTGACTCAAATGTGAGGAAGGGCAGACCTCTCTATTTGGAATTCAGGCATTGTGCTTGCTATAGCTGAGAGCTTTCAAGAGGAAGCATCGCAGTCCTTATCCATGCCCCTCTTGAATAGGACACCTCAGGAACAGCCCATTCCATTTTACTGTCTGGGGTGACGTCTGGAGTCTACCAGAGCCTCACTTACTGGGGTTGCACAGCGTGAGTGACTTCCTTTTTTTTTTTTTTTTTTTAATAAAATTTTATTTGGTTTTCTGGTTTTATAAAGACAAAACATACACAAAGAAAAGAAAAAGACAAAACATGTATAAAATCAACCAATCCCCGTTTCATAAACTTGTTCCCTGACTTCCCCCCACCTCCCCTCGTGCATCCCAGTTTCAAGATTATATCAGCAAGTTGGTATTTCTCCTCTTAACAATGTTATTCATCACCTTATTTTATAATAAAAATTAATTTTCCTAAGTTGGACTTAAGTTCTCTTCCATCGATTTTCATTTTATCTTAATTAAGAGTCATATTAACCAAACCTAAAAGTCTTAAGAGTTTTTAAGAGTCTCTTCTTCCCTCCCTCCCATCCCCGGTTTTTGTCCCTTCCCAATAAAAGTCCAAATTCGAATTTCTCAGCCTGGGTTCCTCACGTCCGAGGCTTTCAAATCCCTTTCAGTCCCTCTCCGCCTGTCCCGTTGGTAGTCCTTTATGTCAGTCATCAAATCTGGGAAAAGTTCTTTCACCATCAAAGTGTTTCCTCTTCCCACAAGGGGGTTCAAAAGTAACTGCTGAAGAATTTCCACAAAGCCTATCTCTTCAAGATCAAAGTCCAAACGGAGGCCCCAAGCATATTTCTTTATTTTAAATTTCTGTGTTCCATTTTGTCCCGGGACCTCCTTCTTCTTCTTCTGTATCTTTCGCAGACTTGTAGTAGATATGTTCCCAGCGTTTCCTTGCTTATGTTCCGCAGATGTCAACTTTTGGTTGTTACTTCCCAGGATTACTTCTTCTTTTTCTTGTTGTTTAGTCTCTTCCAACTCTGTAGGTATTGTTTCCCATTCAGCTGTGAATTCTTTCTCGTTGAGGTCCTCAATACAAAGAGCAGAGTTGCCTGTTCCCAAGGTCATAGTCTCAAGCTGTTTATTCATGGCCAAGCTCTGCTCTTGTAAAGTTCCCACCAATTGAAACATCCTTTCAATTTCCACCAGTAACTTTCCTTCCACAGCCATTGTATCCATTGTAGTTTCACAGAATTCCCCCTAGGGGGAATCTGGTTACTTATTAGCCTTTTCACCAACAATACTTTCACTGATTATTATTACTTTGTTTCCAACGATTTTAGCTCAATTGTAACTCGTCTTAGTCCAGAGATGACAATTTTTGCACTTTAAACCGACCGTTTGGCCGCTTTGACAGCTGTCAAACTCCGCAGCTCTTACACAGGCACCGAGGCAGGACGTTCCCGGGCCCGGGAGGGGGGGTTGTTTGAAGCAAAAAGAAAGTTCCCAAAACTCCACTCTCCAGCCCAAAATTTCCTTTAGTTAAATCTTAGAAGTTAATGTCCTTTTTAACTCACCCCACCAGGGGTAGGCTCTCCAGCTTAGCTCTTATGCTGTTGCTTAGGTCGTCTGCAAGAGGGGGGGTGCGGACTTCCTTTTAGCACACCCCCCGATCGTCTCCAATTCAAGGTAAAATTTTTATATAGTCCCAATCCGTCTTACTCACGGGTAATTCTTTCAGTCCAAATTTTCAAGGAAGGAAGTCAGCGCTCTCTGGTCCTGGCTCGCGGCTTCACTCCACCGAGGTAGCGATCGACTCTCAGTGCCACGCCACCCCCGTATCCCCTCCGCAGCCTTTAAAAAGGCTCTTTGCGAATCAGGGGGGGCGCTTAAGGCACCCGCCGAGTCTTCAGTCCGCAGGCTTCCACGCCTGCGGTTTTTAAGGGTCCCCGCGTCGCCGGCGCGGCAAAGACCCATCCTCAGTGGAGCCGGTTCCCTCCGGAGCTCGGAGGGAATCCGCCATTTCCAGATCGCGTCAACCCGGAAGTCCAGCGTGAGTGACTTCCAGTGAGATCTCACGAGATCTCATGCAAGCTCTGCAAGATCTCATGAGAGTTCTCGTTCTCCTGCGGGATTTATTCACCCGAGGCGGCTGCTTCAGTCTGCCTCATAGCAGCCCAGTCCTGAGAAACCCATTTATGGCAGAATATGACAGCTAACAATCCTGCTCTATTTATTTCTTTAATATGTGTGTGTTTCATATGGAAAAGGAAATGCATTTTCAGACCATTTTTATAAACAAAGCAAAAAATGAAAAGGCAGAAATGTAACAGCAGTAGCACGGTAAGAAAAATACGGAGTCATTCTAGATCTTAATTTTTTTAAAAAAAATACCTTTGATTTAGGCAAAGAGGTAAACATGCTAAAGCAGTGTCTCAGATCACTGATTTGTCTGTCTGACAAATGGGTTCGCTGACCTGGCCTGTTCTAGATGGGTTTGTAGAGATGCAGAGCCTACAGTCCTTCAAATGTTACTAGACTCCCATACCTTGATTATTAATGTATATTGCATTCTCTTTCATGTGGAGATTTGCCTGGCTCCTTCCCTGCTGACAGAAATTGAAAACATTTTCCTTGAAAAAGGCTTTTAAGATCCAGCTCTGCTGCTGTTTTTAATTATTTCAATTGCTGCTTTTTATGGCTGCGCTATTGCATCCATAATGCAAGGGTAGAGAACCTGTGGCTCTCTAGATGTTGCTGGACTCCAGCTTCCAGCATTCTTGGCCATTAGCCTTGATGGCTGGGGTTCATGGACATTTGTTGTTGTTGTTGTTTAGTCGTTTAGTCATGTCCGGCTCTTAGTGACCCCATGGAGCAGAGCACGCCAAGTACTCCTGTTTTCCACTGCCTCCCGCAGTTTGGTCAAACTTATGTT